AAGAGTCAAAGTGTAGTTCGAACCCTGGTTATGCCATGAAGGTAGACCTCATGCCATTCTTGCCTTTCCTTTGCACAGGTATAAGTGACCACAAAGGGCATAGTAATGGAGATGCACACCTGTTGTGCAAGTCTGGAGGGGCAGTATGCCAGGTCTTGCAGCCGCGATGAGTGACTCTGAAGTGTACATAAGCTGAGTTTCAGCTGTCCATATTCCTGTGTGGGTCCCCATGCAATAATCTTCCGTGTGTGCTGGGAAGTAGAACAGGCACCTGTTGCTGCTATGCAAACATAAGCCCTAAACGTTGGCTCATGTCCCATCAATGCAATAATTTCTGATCAAGCATTCATATCGCCAAGAGGGAGCTGTGGGAATGCAGATTTTGTACCCCTTGGCCGTTTGGAGGGGAAAAGCACCTGGAGCCTCCTCAGAAACATCCATATTTTCTGGGTGGGCCAAACTGCAAGGGAAGTCTTATTATTTCATCACAGGCCTTGTGACATTAGATTTCGATTTCTTTCCCCTGCATCCTTGTATCTTGAGCCCTGTGAGTTCATGAGATACATCATTCTAGTTTTTAAAAAGAGGATTCTTGTATCCCTTGTATCCCTTGTAAGTGCAGAGAAACATTTGGGAACATTTCCCAGTCAGCCCATAAAGGTTCAAAAGCCAGCAACATGTAGGATATTTTAAAATTCTTGTGATCGTTAAGTCCTGATACGGGGGTGGGGGGGTCCAGAATCATGACTTTTGAATGCCTGAGGTGGTGATGCTGAAAAAAAGCTGGAAGGACAGCTTATGCCAAGATACTTCTTGTTCTCAGTGGAACTAGGAAGTAGAAAGGTGTAGGGGAAAAAGTCTGAGATAGTAAATGTTCCTCTTGCATTTTTGGTGGTGTTTTCTCAAGCATTTTGGCCATTCATATTTAAACCCTCAGTGGCTGTCTTTAACTGGCTACCAGGTAGGGTATAGTTGTATATGGTATATAGGGGGTGATCTAGTTGAGGCTGGTCCTGCTTTGAGCAGAGGATTAGCCTAGATGACCTCCTGAGGTCCCTTCCAACCCTCATTTTTTTAATTCTATGTCTGGAGGGCCCCAATTCTGGAAACACTTAGACGTGTATCACACGTAAGTGATCCACTGGAAGAACAGCGGGGTTACTACTCATGTCTATAACTGTTTGCAGGGTGGGGCTCCATTCTGGATCTGAATGAGTGGTTTAAGGCTTTTGTGCCAAGGGACGTTGCCCAGAATAATCATTCCAGAAGAGCTCCCTGCATGTATTCTGGGACAAAGGACACATCTCATTGAAATAATACACGAACTTACTTATTCTGGAGGGAAATCATTTGTACTCCAGAACAGGGGCCCATGCAGGAAGCTTTTGCAGATGAACTGCCACAAAATAAATTATTCTATTGCAGTTATTCTGGGCAATTCCTCTATGTAGGCAAGCGGTCAGAAGGGAAGTGTTCTGTGCCTGTTGCTACTCCACTGACTCAGAAAATTTCTCTGATGAGAATACACCGGAGAAACACTTTTTCCTGCAAACCTGAAGGAGGGAACAAAGATAAAATGCTGAAGGGTAACAAGGCAGATCCTTGGGGGCGTGAGCCTGCAGACCTTTATTCATTTAAATGCAGCTTTACAAACTACACCAAGGAATTAACAAGTCCCACTGGGTAATATAAAGCCATGAGCCTGGTTTGACTGGGAAGTTACATGGGGATCATAGATTCACACAGATTCACAGACATTAGGGCTGGAAGGGACCTCGTGAGATCATCTGGTCCAGCCCCCTGCCCAAGGGCAGGAAGTCAGCTGGGGCCAGAGGACTCCAGCAATGAGACTTTATCCCAGGCTGATTCAAAGTGATATGGGGGGGGGGCTTAGTTATTCTGATCCTTTTGTGTTTCAGTCCCAAAAAAACAGGGGGGGGGCTTCCCCTTTCTCCTTCTCCCCTGCTTTTCCTGTGACTGGCCCTGTAGCCCCTGAAGTTACTAAATAGCCAGTAAAGAAAGAAAAAAACACTAGAAAAAGTGAGGTTATTTCTCAACCTGCAGCAGTGACTTTGGGTGAGCTGGGCCAGACCTTCAGCTTCATGCATTCGTTTCAGCAAAGCTACTTGGATTTTCCCCCAGATGAAAGTCTGTTCCCTGAGATCCTCTGGCACTGGCCTCACAGGTGCAAATTAAGCATGCAGCATTAAAATCAATGCAAATAAGTAATACTGACTTTCTTTCAAAGGCTGACACATTCTGTGACCGTGCTCCCACCTAAGTCTGCTAGCATCTCAAATGAGTTTGGCAGAATTGCAAAGAGGATGACTGCACGTGTGTTTCCTAAAGGGTTAAAGGTTTCTTGGCTGACAAGGGCAATCATGAATGTAGATAAACCAGGCGGGCATAAATTAACGAACACGCATTCAAGGCTGAGCAATTCCATCTAGCTCATTAACATTCTTAGGAGGTTTTCTTAGGCAGAGAGGCCCCTTTTACCTTTGCCAACATAAGAGGCCAATAACCTGTAATCCTGCCACCAAAAACCCAGCACACACAGTGAGTGGGTGCAAAAAGGACAGAATGGAGAGGCAGCATATGCTCAGCTGATGGATGGTGACAGACGGGTTTATTTCACAGTAGTCAGCTGACATTCGGGCTTGTGATGTTCTTTTTATTATTATGATTAAGATAATAACTCCCAGCTGCTGTCAAGAGACATGTCATTGGTTTTAAAATTGCAGGCCTTACCTGCTTCTAAGAATACCTGCATCTGATTTTTTTTTTTAATCTAACAAACAGTTCCCACCGATGCTGGTCGTCTGCTTGTTTCCATCTCCTTCAGCTGGGACGAGCAGAGTCAGATTTTGACACAGGAAGAACCAAAGCACTACATTTCCCCCCTGGACATGCACTGGCCCTGACTTACGCCCTCCAAAGGCACATATGTCTGATACACGTTTCTCTGTGTGCTGACTGCTCAGCTTCATTTTTCTTGCTAATCACTTTGTGGTGAGGCCTCAAGTCTTCCTTGCATTTGTAAGAATAAGTAGCCCTATATAGCTCCCTCCTGTTTGCCCCTGGACTGCTACTGCTTCACTTCCGATAATATTAATACTGAAGTTATTGTGCTTGGCTTCCTAAAATTGTCAGAGGATATTTAGGGTGGGATTCTCTGGTGTATCTGCTTCCCCCCCACACCAGCTGGGAAGAGATGGCCAGTGTTAGAATGCAAAATACTTGGGATTAGTTTCTACTAATGGCTACAACATTTTTGCCAGTACCACAGTATTGTACAGTCTGCAATACCTGATCCAGTCTGCCTCAGTAAACCAGTGAAACTGGGTCTTACTCATGAAGCCTGCCCCTCCAATAATTATTAGGCTCCCATTCCTTCTGGTTGACCTCCTGGGGGCTCTTTTATTCCAAATACATAGATAGCACAGACTTCCCTTGCTCCAAAAAGCATCTTTCTTTGTTCACTCATGTGGTCCCAGATAAAACCAGAGCAACTTCCCCAAATGCAGCAGTTACTCCAGGTTTTCCTGAGACTCAGATTTAACCCACAGAGGTCTGAGAGTTGTATTTCTTGGCCACAGTTCCCCATTGAAGAAAACAATTATTCTTCTAGTCATCAAACTATCACCCCAAAGCTCAGAAACAGTCTGCAAAGTTCACCAACTCCAGACACAGGCACGTTGCCCTGGATAGAGAACAATTTCTCCAGTCTTTGTAGCTACAGCACCACCTTGTGGGATTTTATGATTCATACCTTTTGGTGGGGGGGTTTGCAGCCATCTCTGCCATCAATTCTTACGCAGCACTGAGCTTTCACAGCCCCTGAAAACCTGGGGAGAGATGCTGACTTACACAAAGGCCTTGTTGTAGCACATGAAATAATCTCTAGGTCCGTGTAGCCCCAGCAGCACAGAGAACAGCACAGACAAACCACTGCCACATTGGCATGGCTCTCTGGGTGAATTTTGCAGCCCATACTTAGTTCTGTATGACTGCTGGCAGCTCCCAAGCCAGCTAGTGTGAGGGTGGTTAAGGTATGTCCATAGGAATTGTGCTAGGTGGAAATAAGCATGCTCTAAGGGAAGCTGGAGGCAGAGGGCAGATGCCCTTTTTTCCTTGCCACCTGCCATCTAGGAGAGAATTAGCACATGGCAATTTCTTACACTAAGTTCATTCAAGTGGCAGGTCTCCCTCATAAGCATTGGAGCTTGCTTTTGTTCTTACGATCACCCCAAATTATGGATGTCTCTCTCTGAACCTCGTGGCTTGCACCTTGCCAGCCTAAACACCCTGTGCAGTTTCATCAGATACAGGAGTCTTCTTCCCTTCCTTGCTTTGCAGTGGGGCTTTCCGGGCTGTTAAACAGCTGCTGTGTTCCCCCCAGAAGTAGTTTCCTTTCAGTGACAGATTCATCCAGGGTCTGGGTTCGCTCAGTATCCACAATTTTGGTCAATAGGAGATGTATGTGCCCCTGGAAATGTGATCTATTGTTTTCATGAGAATTTTGTAAAAGGTCTTAGGCTTGTTCAGGCTGAAAAGCACCAGAAAGCAAAGCTATTTCATAGACATTAGCGGCTGGAAGGGACCTCGTGAGATCATTTGGTCCAGCCCCCCCCACCCTGCCCCCTCCACCATAGGCGGGAAGTCAGCTGGGATCAAGTGACTCCAGCAAGAAATATAAATTTCCCCATTCTTTGTATAGGAACATGAGCAAAATCTTCAGGAGAGCAATTCTGTATGCTGAACTAAACAACTACTTGACCCTGTTTGGAAGATCAGAGGTTGAGCCACTGCCTAGTAATAGCCAGTTATCATGTAACTGGAGGAGTCTCAGGCAGGGGAACATGTTGGTGCTTGTCCGAAAGTTTGCAGTTTAAAAAGAGTATTGGAGACATCTTTTGTTTAACTGCCTGGGTAGATCTGGAGTGAAGTTTAGTATCATTCCTACCATCTCAACTGCATTCACTTTCAGCAGCTCTGAGCAGTTGACTCACAGCTTGCTGATGAACTGGATTTTATAGTTGTTTGCTTGGCAAGAGACTTAGTTAAAGACGAGGCGAGCGATGACTGGGTGACACTGACCCAGAGACTCCCATTGTACGGTGGAATGCTGGCAGCGCCGCTGAACGGTGACATACCTGCGGGAAACCAACATTATCCTATTAACCACCAGCAGCCAGATCCTCCTCCAGAGTCACTGAGTAAACAGCACCTGGCACCTCACAACAGGCAGATCACTAAGAGGACAGTGCTGTCATCAAAGCGTATGTGCTTTAAGCCTAACCAGACCAAACAGGCTCAAGGTGAGAGCGACTGACCCCTTCCACTGGCATTCCTGTGCATCTCAAATCTGCCTGAATGATCTGAGGGCCCCCTAGCCTTGCCCTTCTCCAGCTTCTTCCCTGCTTGGTCTAATTTTCTCTGTTTAATTTGCTTCCAGCCGGCAGGCACACAGGAACAACCCTCCAGCAGCTTGCGAACTCTGCCATCCTGGATTAACAAACCGGTGTGCGAAGCCTGGCACTCAGAAATATCCCTGCAGCCATCAAGCAGTGGGTACGCTCACATCCAGGAGCTTCCCTCTGCTAGATGAAGAAACACACGTGACTGTGAAAGGAAAATGAGCGGTAAGGAAAGTTATTGTTGTGACAGTCTTCCATGAAGTTAGATGAGCTTTATTTATTTTTAATCATGGCATGCGTCTCAAATGATATCTCCTTACTCTGTTGGTAGCCAGAAATCCTCAGGGCCGGCCTGCAATACTCCTTATAGAGGAACAATACCTCCACGAGCTGTGAGCTCAGCCCCTTTGGGGAACAAAGGGCTTGTTTTGTTTGATCGTCCTTTTTCATTTGGACTTGGGGCAGCAGATCCCTTATTAGAATACTGCTTTGCGCACACAAGTGCAGCTGGTCTTGTCATTGTGGAGCTGAGGGGATAGCATTTGAATGCCCTCACATTGTTTTACAGTTAATAGGCATGGAGCTAAAGAATGATGTGTCTGTAAACCTACTGCAACCTGCAGACACGTCTTCACGGCAAACTTACTGTGGCAGGCAGCAGTGCCTTCAAGCCCAATGTGCTGCTCCAAACAGCAAGCAGTGTAGCTGCCTTCGTGAAGTATTGTGCCCTTGCCAATGCCTGCCCACAGCTCTGTGCAAATCTTGCTATGCTGCTTCTGATTCAGGAGGCCGTTTTATCTGAAGCAGCATGATGTCTGAGGACCTGGCAGCCCCACATCATCAGACTGTGGTGTGTACACAGCCTGCATCCCCCAACATGGCTAGAAACATAGATTTATGTTATGAAAGTTTAGTGAATTATTAACGGGGACCATGTCAACCTACAGCAGGTGGAAGTTTAAAAGCTCATTTGGGCCTTGTGAAAGAAGATAGAGTAACAGGCCTGCAGTCTGCAAGCCACAACCCAGAGCAGATACAAGGGGAACCAACCACCCCACCAGCCCATCACTGCTGTTCTGAAAGGTGCTTCCTGTCCATTGAGGATAACCTGTTCATATAATCCTTTGTATCTCTGCTAAGGCTACCAAAAAAGAGCCTAATCTGTGACTTCTAGGATTGTGAAAAGGCTGAGCACTAAACATGGAATGAGAACACCTAACCTGTTTCCAAGAGGCTAACAAATAGCGATGGTTTGGGGGCACAATTAGATTCAAAGTTGTGCAATAGAGACTCTATAATCTGTTCCTAATGCCCTAACTCTTGTAATGCCCTCATCTGGTGATAAGGAAGGAATAATAAATGAAATTGCTATATATCTGGTTATTTCTTTCTTGTAAAAAAAAAAAAAAAAAAGGAATGAGACCAGATGCCAAGCTCTTGAGGAGGTGGATGGAGCTGAGCGAGGAGGTGACGCTGGAAGAAGATGTGATAGAGAACCATTCCACATCGGTTAGGCAGCTGGAGAATAACGCATCATCGGCCTGTGTGTGGAGAGATCTGCACCTGGCTGCTTGGAATGGTAACACACATCTGGTGAAGCAGCTGCTGAAGCGGGGGGCAATGATAGAGAGCAGGTGAGCACCTGTTGCCCGATAGCTGCCGTATTATTTCAGGCTTGTCTTGCTAGGTCTCTGCCTGTCGCTCTCTGACATAAACAACCTGAGTTTTCCTTGCTTCAACCCACCTAGAGACCAAAATGGATGGACGCCCTTACACGGTGCCACACTGAACGGATACCTCAGCATGGTTAAATTCCTCGTGCAGCGCGGAGCTGCAGTCCATGCCATGGATCAGTCACGCTACACACCACTGCATCACGCTAGCTGGAATGGCCATACCCAAGTGGCCAAGTTCCTCCTGGCTCGAGGAGCCTCAGCAACAGCAGGGACCATAGCGGGCCTGACCCCACTTCACTGCGCAGCAGCTGGCGGTCACACCCTCATTGTGCAGTTGCTGTTACAGCAAGGCACAGATCCTGCTGGTAGGGACAAGAATGGGTGGACAGCACTGCACTGGGCAACTGTGAGCAGCCATCTGCATGTCATGGACTTGCTGATGTGCCACGGCCTCTCCCCAGATCTGGGCAGTGATGGAGGCTTCACAGCATTGCATGTGGCAGCAGAGACTGGAAGAAGTGACGTTGTAAGGTTCTTGCTTGCAAAGGGAGCCAATATCAATGTCAAGGATGGGCTGGGGAGAACAGCACTTGTCATTGCTGCAGACAATGGTGATCAAGAGGTAGGTCTGTAACATGATGATACTTCATTATCCATTGATCAGGGCCAGCAAGATAGGGAAGATAGCCACCAGATTCTCTCCAGCCAGCTTCTTCAGTTAGAGTGGTCTAAGATGAACAATGATGCTGATTTACTCAGTTGTAGGTAGGTCAAGCCTGGCTGATATTCTCAGCTGTGGACCATGGATGTTGTTTATGGGTTCCAGACACATACAGCTTTTCCTGCTGATTGTCCTCTGTCTTCTAATGTACCTCAGGATGGAAAAAATGAACCTGAATTAATACAAGGTTACTTTTACTGGTTGGCTGTTTGTATAGAACTAGATAACTTCTGGCACGCAAACACATAGTGTGTGCTCATGAGGTCTCTCTGCAGGGACAGTAAATGAGTTGGGGATTTCCTCCGTCAATGATCAGAACACAGGCGGAAATTCAGCTGGTGGCTTTGAGATACAACAATGGAAGGGAGGAATTAGGAAGAACTTTCTCACTAGGCAAGTAGTAAAACACTGGAACAGGTTACCCAGAGAGGTGGTGGAAACTCCATCTTTGGAGGTTATCAAAACCCAGCTAGACAAAGCTTTGGCTGGGATGATCTAGTTGGGGATGGCCTTGCTTTGAGCGGGGGTTGATGTGACCTCCTGAGGTCCCTTCCAACCCTAACTTTCTGTGATTCTAGAAAGTCAATTTCTATGAGTCTATGAATGAAATAGCTAATGCAGACTTAAAATGAAACTAATGAATCAGGAAAAACTGTCTCTGCATAGAAGTTTTCACTAATAAAAATTAAAGTACTGTGCTCTGCCCCTTTGAGAACTTCTCAGAGTAGCAGACTGCTAAAAGGCTTACGTGCTTAAACTGAAATCCTGGCCCTACTGTCACTGATTCAGTGGGACCCATTCCTTTATGGGCTGCAACAAAATGAACTCACTTTTTCTTTCCTCTTCCCCAGATTACAGGAGTGTTGCTGAAAGGCAAAGCCAATGTGCACCTGAAGGACCACTATGGCTGCACAGCTCTCCACAAAGCAGCAGCTGGAGGATACCTAGCCATAGTGCACCTCTTGGTTAAGGAAGGAGCTGGTGTCAATGCTAGGGATGGTTTGAATCTGACCCCACTTCACAGAGCTGCCTACTATGGGCAAAGCAAGGAAGCCAGTTATCTCCTGGAGCATGGAGCTGACATCAATGCTGCTGGCTGGCTAAACAAAACCCCGCTGCACCTGGCTGTGGAAAAGAGTCATCTCCTTTTAGTGCAGCTGTTGCTGGGGAAGGGGGCTAGTCTGTCCCTGGGAACTTGCTGGAGTAAAACAGCAAAGGATCTAGCATTGCCAGGGACATTTCCTGGAGACTCACCATCCACTTCAGAGAGGCTGGCAGGTGTGAGCTGAACCAGAGTCCAGCCCAAATGCAGTAAGCTCAGCCTGACAGAAGAGAGAACAATTTTAACCTCCTGTTTTGTCTGACACCGTCGTGTGAAGGAAACATCAGATTATCCCAGCACTCCAGTACTAAAAGATAAAATCTGGCAGTGCAAAGGAGCCCCAAAGTGGCTGTGAAGCATATTTACAGGTAAATTACACCAACTTTAAGGCACCTTTGTACTACTAGACTGCTGTTAGGGAGCCTTAGTGTAATCAATGAATCATGCTCTGATTTTTTAAAGGGTTCTGTCTTTAACAAAGTACTGCTGTAATATGCATTTAATACTACAGATGAGATTAAACCATTTATGGTGATGCATTTGATATGAGATAAGACAGCCAATGGACACCAATATGAATCCCAAGTCGTAAAGAGAGGCCAAATGGAGAGGATGTAAGAGGTAGATTCTGGGGCCCAGGAAAGGATCATGGGAGGAATAAAGCAATAGCAGAGCAGTGCCAGGTGGAGGAATGTGACCAGACACATAGGCCAGGCAGCGAGCCTAAGCAAGACCATGCTTAAAATGCTTGCTGTCATGTGGCAGTAGACACTGTAACTGCCTGAAAATCTTACTGGATCAGTTTTGTTGGAGAAGGAAAAGCAAATGATCAGACAAAGACTATTTCCGACCCAGGCATCCTCCTTTCCCTAGAACAGACCTTTGTATGTTAGAATGACGTGTTACTTTATTCAGTGGCTGGACATTTAATAAAACTGCTTTCAGAAAAGAAATACTGAGTCAACTGGCAAGTTTTAGTGCTTCCTATCCTATACTACAGGCACTTGTATCAGAAAAGCTGTTATTAAGGTAATAACTACACCTGCTGCCTCCCCGTAGGGCAAGATTCTAAATCAAGGCAGGATATCATTTGTTTCCAGAAAGAAAAATAGCTCCAATCTGCAAAATGCTCCTGAGTAGTCACTTCCCTGCCTGCAGTTAAGATCCGACATATCCATTTCAAAGAAAGACCTGGGACAAGAGAGAGAAATATGTCAACAGAAGTTAAATGAAAACAAGGCTGGATCTCGGTTAGAGGTGGCTGAATAGTATTTGTCAAGCAATGGCAATAAACCATATTTTGCATGGCTCAACTGCATAGCATTCCTGAATAAGGTATCCGCTGAATAATACATGATCCATCCAATATTTTATTTGATGAATCATTTTATTCAGCTCTGTTCTCAGTCCCTCCTGTAGAGAATAAAATGTGTTACAATAATTTTCACATCCATGGCCCCTTCTAGCCACTGGTGTCAAAGCACATTGATATTTACTTCTATTACTCATTTACAGAGCCCTTTCTGAGCATAGGCTAAGGCACATTATTAACTCAACAGAAGCTTGGAGTCTCAGGCTCTGAGCCTACAACTGGATCTCCCCCAGGCACATCCCTGCATCTAGATACCAGCCCCTGAAATCAGCAGAGATCTGTAGGGGTGCAGGGGTCTGCTACATGCAGATTGTATAACTGGGGTCTAGAATGAGCATGGCAAAGGAAAAGACAATGGGTCAGGTGTGGAAAGAGAACAGGCAAAAATGATTACAAGTGAGTTAGAAGAGGTGAATTAGTGGGGTACAGCAATCACAAAACATACTGTCAAGCCCTTTATATACTTCCCAGAGGCTCTTACAATGCAATAATTAATCTCCCCATAGAGCAAAATGAATTTAGTTGTACATCGCCAGGACAAAAGGAGCTAACCCTACTTCTCACCCCACCCCGGCCCCCCTGGGCTACCACTGTCAGCCCTGTAGGAAACTATGGTATTCCTAGGGAGCGTTCCCAGCCAGATTTTTATGGGGATTTCTATCTTCAGGGGGAGCAAAAACTGACAATTTGATAAATAAACAGAATTTTTATTTAAATCTGATATTTACAAGTTTTTCTCCAATGTGAACCTACTTAAATTTGAAATGGTGAAGCCCGTTTCAAATTAAGATACTATCCTCTAGTAAAATCATTTATATTAAAAAATATATATTCAAGCAATATGTGTTTGCTGCTGACATTTTAAAGAAAGACAATCCACTGAATTGATGGCAGTTACTTGATAAGGCTTTGTTGAAGTGGCAGACTAGTCCGATAGCACTAGGAGGAAGCAAGGAGAATATTTTCTCTCAGTTTAACTGCTTCAGTTCGACTCTTTTTTCTTTCTTTCAATGTTTCAAAAATTATTGGAAGTGGGAAAAGCAGGGAAGTTTTCCTCTTTCCACCTTAGGTCTGAGGCTCTAGTGCTACAAACTTGGAGAACGTGGTGGTGCAAAGGATCAGTTCAGTTTATAAAATTCAAATCAAATTCCCTTTGTTTACTAAATACAAAACACATTTTGGTAAGCATACTCCCTTCTCTTAGCTATCCAGAACATAGTAGGTATTTTGTTTAATGAATAAAAAACCATCTTGAAATCCCATTTTTGTGTGTTCTTAATTGAATTCCCATGTCTTTCTAAATGCAGATTCTTCCAAATGACAAGTAAAAAAAAAAATCCGCTTCTTTTAAGTAAGAATATGTCATCTCCCATTTTTAATACCATAAAATTGTGAAGCATAACAATCTGACTAGATGGCTGTTAGGCATTAAAACTGCTTAAATTAATATGCATACACACATACTATGCTGTCCTGATTAGCAAACAGACATACCAGATTTATTGTAGAGGCTATATTTAGTTGCAAATCAATAGTTTTCGTCCAAATCAAGACAACCTTTCTGTCAGAAAATAATTAAAACATACAAATGCAACCTGAAATTAAGATTGTCAGTGTAATCAAGGTTTCTTCTTCTCTGGTTTACATTGTGAATAAAAATAGTGTTTTGAATCACGTGGATTTTAAATCAATCTGCCCTACCTGCATTCCTTCCTTCTATCCGGACTGGCCTGCGGAGTCGATGCTGCCTCATTATCTTCCCTTTGCACAAGGGAGAAGCTGGGCTAGCAACAGACTTGTCCCTCTGTTGAAAAACAGGATAAAACCCTGCACGCTATCTTGAAAGGTTTTGGACTCAGAAAAGTTTGTATCTCCCAAACAGATCATTTCATTCATTCACTTCTCCCTATTCCCTACTTATAAAATCAGAACAAACATCACAATTAGAATAACTTTGCCCCTGAAATGCAGTTATTACTGGGGTAGAACGAGAACAGCTGGCAAGCAGAGTGCACAGCTGCGTGCAGTGTGTGTATAGGAGAGAAGAAGAAATATTGGTGGGCACCAAGGCAAAAGCCTTCTCTGGGTACCCATTAATGCAGTGCATACCTAAGGTATAATGTCTCTATCGATAACATGAGGTACATCTAACCTATACACATATACACACACATATACATACATACATACATACATACATATGTGACACCTACACCTATTGGACCATTTTATTATTATAATTATTATTTCTAATGTCCAAATCAAATTAACTGTGTCTTTAAATATCCATGAGCCATTTAGCTTCAACCAGGCCAGTATCCTGCCTCCCAAACTAGTAAGCCTGGGAACTCAGATACTCCCTATATCCAGGCAGGCATCTTGTGTGCAGGTGTGAGCCTGGAAGTTCAGACACCCCCAGCCACACTGAAACAATCAGGGCTAAATCATCCCTGGGAGAGTTTCTCCTGAGAGAGCAAATGTCTGTACGTGCTTCTCGGCCTCCTGAAGGCTCAGATCAAGTGCTGTGGCTTCTTAACCTAGCAGAGTAAATACCATGTATTCATGTCCGAGAAGGCAGTTTTCCTGAACCACTTTGCAGGAGAACTTCTTTTCTAGTTCAGTACCTGCCAAGGTTCAGCATCTTTAAGCCCAGTTGATGGATATGGGAGTCTCCTCCCTTGCTTGCTTTGAGGGCCTTATGGCTGAGGGCAAGCAAAACTCGGAGGGCATCTGAACCCCAAGCCTCCAGGCTTGGGCCTGCACGTAGGATGCCCGCCAAAGGTTTTGGGGACATCTGAAGCCCCAGGTGCAGGTGGAGGATGTTTGCTGGTAGTAGGGCCACTTATGGTTCTGGACTCTTGGATTTAGTTTTGGCTAATTTGGCCTGGGATATGAATTATATATATATATATAGAGAGAGAGAGAGAGAGATGTGTATAGATACATAGATAGATAGATGTCTGTGCATCCAAACTGGGCCGTTCCAGCGGATTGTGCCCTTCTCCCACTCCCCAGCAATCTGTGCCTGGCCTTTCATGCGGGATTTCAGGCCTTTTGCCTAAGATCACGGTGGCTGGGGGGGCTGGACTTGCTCACTGGATGCCTGCCTGGATGCAAGGAGTGTCTGAACTGCTGGGCGCCTCTGGGAGGTGGGATCCTGGCCTGGTGGAAGCTTAATGCCCCGTATTTAAAGACACGGTGCATTTGCTTTGGGCACTGGAAATCATCATTGTAATGATAATAAAGCGGTGCAAGCGGCGCAGCTTGTGGGCCCAGGCCCACACGGCCGGGAGGGGCTTTCCCCGCTCCGAGTGACGCAGCGCTGGGGACTCCGCCCCGGGCCGGGCCGGGTGGTGGCGGGAGCCGGACCCACGTGGGCCGAGGGCGGCGCCGGCGGCTGCAGCGGCCGACATGGTTTTCCTGAGCCTGCAGCGGTGGATCCGCTGCCGGAATACGGAGCGGCGCTGGCGGGTGCTGGAGGAGCTCCAGTACGCCCGGGTGAGTGTGCCCGGCCCGCCGCTCGCGTGCAAGGCGCCTCCGCTGCCCCGAGCCGGAGGAGCAACGCGCCCCGGAGCCGCGACCTCTTGCAAAGAAATGCCCCGCATGTTTGACCTTCCTGTTGGCGGGGGATGGTTTCGCTAGGGAGGATCCTGCCGTGGGGTTGACGTGGTGGGGGTCCTTCCAGCCCTGCTTTCCTGTGGTGGCTGATGATTGCTTCAGCCCAGCATCAAGAGCAGGAGCTGCCACTTAACGGGGGCTGCCCTAGAGACCACCAGTAAGCCCCTGGCTCCCTTAGAGACCAGTAAAGCAGCGAAAGGAAATATTGGTGGCCTCGGGGTCACCCCATAAACATGCCTTTCAGTGCAGGTCTCTGTGGGGGCGTAGGGGCATTCGCTGTCCCAGCAGAGTTGTGGGGGAGCTGTACAGCTTAGGGGATCGTGGTCCAGTTAATGGGCTTCCCTTTGGCCGGGCGGTTTACAGGAATACATGCTGGTTCATTGTGTGTGACTGGTTTCTCCTTGTTTCTGCCTGTTAAATTGTATGTCACGTCTAAAATGGATCAGGTTCATGTGTGCTCTGCCACTGAGAAAAAAGTGTGGTCCTTTGTATATGAGCTTCTGTATCTCCCATCTATAAAGAGTTGTGGAGCTTGATGGCCAAAACTTGTCTCCCTGTAAAGTGGAAGCTGTTTTGAGAGCCTCATTATGAAATGCTCTACAGAAATGC